GAAGGTAGAAATAAACTCTGCTGACCCTGGACGTAGGAGTCTTAGCCCTTTGTCAGAGGCAGGAGAGTGTCCTCGAGGCACTGCTAGCACGGAAACCATCACATGCCCAGCGGGCTTCCAAATCCAGCAGAACCATGGACTTTAACCATGTTCTAGTTTAGATCATTTTCTGCACTTGTCTTCAATCAGATTAAAATATCAGTTACTGACCTACTTGCCCCCTCCACTTGTTTTTGTTAGATTTCTTGATTATAGAGCAGTCCTTACCCTATCTGGGACTGAAACAAACCCAAACCAAACCAAACCAATCCTGTTACTACATCTGCATCTATCTCAATAAATTCTTTAAAAAAAAACACACACACACACAGACACAACCCTATACAATGTAAAAATCAAATAATATTGTAAATAGATAAATAATGTTTACAAATTGAAGGGGCTTTTATGGCATATGAATGATCTTCCTTATTGTATATGCGCATGTGTAGTTTACTGGATTTTGTGTGCTTGGATCTTCTTAAAGCAGGATCTTACTGTGTTAAGACTGGAGTTTTTAATCAGTTACCTATTACCATAATAATATCTTCTTGTATGTTCTCATCCAACATCCGATTGCTTACAGTAAGTGTTTTAAGTGTTCATTCTCATTCTCACAGATGTGTAAGTTGAGTGAGGATAGGACTCAGTTGGACGGTTCTCCTTCAGGATGCAAATCTAGATCGACCTTGGTTCTTGGATACATTTTGGCTCTAGTACTCATGCACCTGTCTCTCATCCTCTTTGGACCAGTGGGCTCCCTGAGGCATTTCCATATTTGATGACAAATTTATGAAAGGGGCAAGCAGAGACATGTGACATCCCTTAGGCTTTGGCTGAGAACTGTCACATCGGCCCTTTTGCCCACATTCTATTGGCAAAGCAAATTGTATGGCCAAGACCAGTATCAGTAGTGTGGGAACATGTACTTCACTTCTAGTGGAGTCACAAAGCCACATGGATGGCAAATGTCATAAGTACATACAGGAGTAAGGATTCAAAGCATTAAAGCAATCTGCTGGAACTAGAGAGAGGTTGAGAGCCCCTGTGTGGAGAATGACTCAATAGAATTGTATTAGTCTTCTTGGGCTGCCATAACAGTACCACAGACTGGGGGGCTTAATGAACAGAAATTTGTTGTCTCACAGTTTTGGAAGCTAGAAGAACAAGATGAAGGTGTGGGCAGGTTTGGTTTCTTTTGATGCTTGCAAGATGGCCAACTTCTTGCTATAGTCTGATGTGGTCTTTTCTCTGTGTGCATGTGTCCCTGGTGCCAATCTGTCCTAATCTCCGCTTCTTATAAAGACAAAAGTCATATTGGATTAGAATTCACCCTAATGTCCTCATTTTAACTCATTCACCTCTTTAAATGCCCCATCTCCAAATAAAGATTCACATTCGGAACTACTGGGGTTTCGGATTTCAGAATTTGGGGAGGGCACAATTCAGCGCATAACGGATTGTCTTCTAAAGTAGCTCAAAGCACTTTATAGGGGAATTTAATGAATTGGTCATTACATGGTGAGGAATTTAGGGGCAAGGGCAGTGGGAGGGGTCCAGACATGGCTATTGTGTGAATTAGATCAACTTCAGGGAGCTGCTATAGAAAAATACTGACATACATTTCACTTGGCGCAAATGCCGGGGATTTCCCACCAGCTGAGTCCACCTGAGGTGCTTGTCGCTGAAATAAGTCAAAGGAAATATAATAGAGAAATCAACCTGCTTTTGACAACAGGAGTGTTTGCGTGTTTTAATCCCACCGACCTCAAAATCAGTACAATCCAGGCCAAGTGGTCTGATCATTTTCTCTTGGTCACCCCAACAGAAATTACCTGCCAGCAATAGGGTTTGTCATTCTGAGGAAGGAAAATCCATCCTACAGCATGAATGTTCCTAGTGGAAAGATATAACAAACTCTCAACCTGAATAGATAGCTCTATACCTACAAGTCAAGAAGCCCTGGTGGACTCATTTTTTGTAAAACAACAAAGTCCAAAACCATAAACAACAAAACCCATTTATAATTTAAATTAGTAAGACCAATAACTTAAGCTTTACCAAAAATCACCAAAAGAGAAATGGATGAGCACATTAATGTGACTGGTAATATGCTTTATTGTTCACTTAGAGATTTAATCAGTGTGGTTTAAAGATGATAGTTCCTTCCTTAATTTTAAAGAGAAATTCTCCTTTCAGTAGATTAGAGGTTAGTAATGTATTTTCTAATAATGAAATTAATGTTAATGAATCCAATATTGAAAGGCAGTAGTAACCATTTAAAAGCAAAGGAAGCAGAATTCTACAATCAAAGACATCTAAACCTTTTTTTAAGCTAAGTTTCCTCTCTTGTTCCTAAACCCACTATTCTTTTTAACTCTTGAAACTTTGAGTTAATGAAGTGGGGAGTGTAGAGAGAATGGCTACAGTCCAATTTGCAAAGTAAATATATTTCTTTCTTGTTATGTAATTCAAGAATGTCAAGCATCAGGATTAAAGTGGGCACTTAAAAGCTTTTCTTTTTCTTTCTATTCTTTGGCGGGGAGGGAGGCACTGGAGAAAGGGGTAAAGATATAGGGACACTCTTTTGATTTTAAACCAAGTTATACAAAATTTCAGTGAAATGGATCCAGATTGAATTAGAAAATGGACTGAAATAATGCTTACAGCCTAGAGGTTTGCTGCAAACCAGCAGTTACTGTGTGTGGCAGTCAAGGGTGGCTTTTATTTATTCATTTATTCTTTATGAATATATGTATTTGTTTTTATTTCCCTATTTTGATGACCCATATCATCATGGCTGCTGAATTCTCAGGGAGCCACCTATACTAATATTCTAAGCATATCTCCCAGGAAGAAAAACTTTTATTAAAGTTGCTGGGCATGTTTGAATAACATCAAATTAGATAGGATTTCTGCAGAGTACAACTTGATATTTTTCTTTTAAATCTTTTGAATTGTGAAATAACACACACACATAGAAAAGGACAGAAAACAACAATGCATAACTTAATAAATGATTGTGAAATGAGCTCACATGAATCACAACCCAGGTCAAGAGAGCATTTACAGTGCCCCAGGAAGGTCTTGGTGTGCCCTACCTCCTTTGCCAAGAAGTCACTATCCTGATTTTTTTTTTAGTGTTTAGTTCCTAGTGGTCTTTATACATTGACTTCTTGTATAACCTTAAACATTCTAGCTTAGTTTTGCCTGGTTTTGAACTTTATATAAACAGAATAATAGTCTTTACACTTTTTCTTATTATGGTAAAATATCCATAACAAAATTTACCATATTAACCACTGTTAAGTATACAGTTGAGTAATATTAAGTACAGTCCCATTGTTTTGAAACCATCACCACCCTCCATCCCCATAACTTTTCATCTTATAAAACTGAAACTCTGTGCCTGTTAAACAATAATTACCCATTCTCCCCTCCCCCCAGCTCCTGGCAACCACCATTCTACCTTCTGTCTTTATGTTTTTGAGTATCCTAAGTATCTCATATAAGTAGAATTGTATAGTGTTTATCTTGTTGTGATTGGCTTATTTCACTTAGTATAATGGCCACATTTTGACAATCCATTCGTCTGTCAGTGGACACTTGAGTTGCTTCTTGTTTTAGCTATTGTGTGTAATGCTGTTATAAATATGGGTTTACAGATATTTCTTTGAGGCCTTGCTTTTAACTCTTTTGGGTGTATACCCAGTAGCAGAATTCCTAGATCGTATGGTTCAAATAAATGGAATAATACAGTCTCTACTCTTTTGTGTTTGATTTGTTTCAGTTAAATTTTGTTGGCGGGGTATACCCATGTTGATGCATGTAGCTGTATTTCCTCTGTTTGGGGAGTCTATTATTCCACCGTGTGAATATGTTACAGTTTATCCATTCTACTCTTGATGGATCTGTGAGTTGTTTACCGATTGGATCTATTATGAATAGTGCTGCTGTGAACATTTTGGCACATGCCTCTGCTGCACACATTTCTACTTTGTATACATCTAGCATTCTGGGTTGCTGACTTATAGGGGTGTGTACCTTCAATCTTAGTTGACTTGGATTGTGTTACAGTGAAAAGAATGCAAAAACCTATGAGTTAAATAGATACTGTTTTTCAATTTTGTTTTTAAACTCCTTGTAAAAAATAACTTCATTTGCAGGTCTTGCATCAGACTTTTGTTCTGCTCTCAGTAGATGTATACCTCACATTTTGTAAGCAAGGTTTCTGTGTCTGGGCATGACCCATGGGACACAGAAGGATGACTGCTGCTGTCTCCTAGACATCCAGAACAGGAGCTGGCAAACTAAAGCACCACAGTCTGTTTTCTCTAAATGAAATTTTATTGGCACGCAGCCACACCTATCATTTACATACTGTATGTGGCTGCTTTTGTGCTACGGTGGCAGAGTTGAGTGATTGTGGCAAAGCCTGTATGACCCACAGAGCCCAAAATAGTTACGATCTGGCCATTGCTGCCATGACAAATTACCTCTAATATAGTGGCTTAAAACAACACAAATTTATTATTTTATGGTTCTGTAGATCAGAAATCTGACAGGGTCTCACTAGGCTAAAATCATGGTTTTTGGTTTTTTTAATCTTTTAATTTATTTTCTTTTTCCTCTTCTTTTTTTTTCCCCCCAGTTTTATCTTTTTTTCCCCCTCTTTTCCCTCTGTTTTTCTTTTCCTCTCTTTTTCAAACTTGTGTCCAGGACTGACTTTCAGTTGATCACATTGAGGGAGCTACCCTGCTAGGTAGGAAACCCCCACCCAGAAGCAGGTCATCTAGGAATGATTTAGCACAAGGTTTCCCACGAGCCTGCCTTGCATGACTGGTGAGCGGGTGGCCACCTTTCTGGCCACACCCCGTATCCCAGGACTAAGGGCTCTCTTCACTGGCCCCTGATCTCTACCCACTGTGCATGGCGATGTATGTGGCGGCGGGGACCGCTAGAGGCTCCTGTGGTGCCAATACTAGGAATATTAGTGATGAGTTAAATTTTCATCCCAGAATCTGCCCTATGAAATTCATCATTAGACTAAAATCAAGGTTTTGGTAGGGCTGACATTCTCTTCTGACAGCTCTAGGGGAAAATCTGTTTCCTTGCCTTTTCCAGCTTCTAGAGGCTGCTGTCATTCTTTGGCTCATGGCCCCTTTTTCCATCTTCAAAGCCAGAGATGTTGCATCTCTCTCTGCTTTTCTTCCATAGTCACATCGCCCTCTGATGACTGCTGGGAAAGCTTATATGATTTTAAGGACCCGTGCAATTAGATTGTGTCCTAGACTACTCACATAGTCCAGGATAAGCTCCCTCTCTCAAGATCTTTAACTTAATCACATCTTTGAAGTCCCTTCTACTACATAGGGTGACATATTAATAGATTCTGAGGATTAAAACATGGACATCTTTGTAGGCCATTATTTTGCCTAGCACACTAGCCCTTTCCAGGAAAAAGTTTGCCCACTCCTGATCAAAAAAAAAAAAAAGTTGAGTATCTAGTTGGAATTTAATGCCGTCTAGTAGGAATGTTACTTCTTAGTCAAGAATTTGGCATTTCCATGATCCTTAGCTTCTCTCCCAATCTACCTAAAGTACCTAAAGTCATCCTGGCAAATGAGACAAGTGTCAGGGCTACATTATTGACACTTAAGTGCTGTGGCAGAATTAAAGTACAGACAACCCCTTGTTGCTTTTCTCTTAGAAAATTTTCTCTTGTCTTCTCTGATTTTCCCAATGGACTTAAACATGCTTTTCAGCAACAAATTCTGTCTCAATCTCTCCCAGCAGGCCAGCAAATCCTTACTTCAGTATTCTGACAGACATTAGCATTTTCCAACTCAGCCAAAAATGACCTCACTGAGATCACATTATAAAGCCCTATTAAACACAATTGGCAATATAAAGCAATCAAGAGCTATCTTTCCCATATTTACTGACCATATTAATAGTCTGTCAGCCTGTCTCTCTCCTCCTAGTGCATTTCCTTAGGAATCAAATATTTAGGAAGCACTGTTTGCCTCCCTTATCACTCTTGCTTTTCAGCAATCCTGTGAGATAATTATCTTATTTCTTCCCTTCTGAATTCCTAGATAATATACCTACCAGAGTGTTTGGTCCTAACTCTAATCCTCTCATTATCAGATCTCAAAATGGTATTTTGTCCCACTTCCTTGAAGCCTTTAGCACCTTAAGCTGAGAATTTACTCAAATCTCACTTTAAATATTTTCCTAAAGATCGCAATCTTTACCCATTTTTTTCAATCAGTGTTTTTTGAATGACTTGCTAGGTCACCCTTCATGTATCATTTTAAAAAATTTTTCTCCTGAGAAGGAAAGTTATAAATCACAAAGGAAAATGACATGATTCTAATATTTAAGCTACCTGGTATTTATATATTTAATGGGATAGATAATAAATTTTAGAGCAAGTTTTTGAAATGCTGAAACACTAGGGTTTCATGTTTTGTGTATATTTTAAAAGATGTCTAAGTGAATTTTTCAATCAAATCTATAAAAATAAATCCAAAATTCTTTGCTCTTATGTGCAATTAAATGAACATATCTTGAATTTAATGCAGCTATTTAAGTATGTGCACACTATAAATATTTTGAATAAAAATTCCATACTAGGTTGGACAAGTCCTTGTTATCCTATAAGACAGCCCAAGAAATAGCAACTCCCAGGGAAATCACTAGTATGGGGCCAAAGGGGCCTCCTCTGCTTCAATATTTTGGCTGAAAATGTAGAAAGAATTCAAATCAGTTCTGTACCTGACATGAGACTGCAAGGGATCCAAGATACCCAAGGGATATAGGTTCAACCCGCAAGTATCAGTTGGGAAGCTGTTGCCACACCTGCAAGATGATGGTTGAGGGTAGCTAAAGGCTGTCACTAGTGAATTGCCTGCCAAAAGCCCCAAGTGACAAGGGCTTTGCTGAAAGTGTCTTTCATGGGGAGTGGGGTATGGGGTTGGGCAGATATGAGTACTGTGGATTCCAGGGGAAGATCCCCGTCAAAGAAAGGAGGGTGGTGGAGCTGGGACTGGGAGGCACCAATCAGGAGCTGGCACGCAGGATTCAGCTGGAGAAAGCATTTGGAGATTAGTTGAATGAGAGCATCAAGGGAATGCCTGATCTAGATCAGAAATCCCAGGGCAAGATCAAGTCATTATTGCTGCATAGAACAAAGGGTCAAGGGGCCTGATTATGTGAAGGCCCTTCTGGAAGTCCCCCCCTTTTTTTTGGTTTTGGGGGAAGTGAGGAGATAATTAGGTTTATTTATTTATTTTATTATTATTATTATTATTTTTTAATGGAGGTACTGGAGATTGAACCCAGGACCTCATGCATGCTAAGCATGCAGTCTAACTCTAAGCTATACCCTTATCCCCCGGAAGCCCTTTTGGGGACAGCCAGCTCTCCCCAGAATAGAGCCTTCAAGTGAAAGGATGTCCAGGATAAATGGCAGCATTTAGATTCTAACATGTTGGAGCACTGAAGTAAAATATTGAACAAGAATGAATGGAAAAATCTGCTTTCAGATCTAAAACAATCATATACAGAAATAAAGGATGGAGGAGACTTTGCCTAACAGTAGTCTGTATAAAAAGTCTAAGGAACTTCTGTTACTCAAAAGTTCAGAATTAGCCAGCAAGGGTTAAAAAGCTGTCCTCAGAACCTTAGCATTTACTTGAGGGTCTCACAAAATTTTCTTCAAAAAGGTTTTGTGGTCAAATTAGTTTGGAAAATACTGCATATTCTCTTGGGAATTGACAATGTTTTTCAGTTGGTTAAAGGCTCAGAAGAGTTCTGTGGTAAAAAGTCTTGATTAACTTTTTGTATTAATCAGTATGGGACAGGTTATACTGTAAGAACAAACATCCCTCACTTGTCAGTGGCTTAAAATAACAAAACTTTATTTCTTATTTTGCTATGAATCCCTCAGGGGTCAGTTGAGGCTCTGTTTCTTGTCATCATTGGACCTAGGCTGAAGGGGTGAGTCACTGTAGCAGAGGGAGAAGAGAATATGGAAAAATATGCACTTGCCCTTAAAGCTTCCACCTCATAGGCAGTACATACCCCTTCTGCTCAGGTTCTATCAATCAAGGCAATTCACATGGCCATTCATTATAGGGATGCAGTTTTGAACTAGATATGAAGGAGAATTTTCTGAAAATTTGAATAAAGACCCTCCAAACCATGTCCCATAAAGCCCTGCAAGATCTGGGCCCTGTTTGCCACTCCAGCCAAATCTCATACCATTCCTTCCTTCCTTGCTCAGTTCTAGGCATGCTCACCTTTCTAAGAGTGCCTACAACATGCCAGGTTCTTTTCTGCCACGGGGCTTTTGCACTTTCTATTCCCTTTGCCTGGAAGGCCCGTTCTTTACCTTTTGTATAGTTATCTCCTTTCCATCCTTCTGGACTCAGCTTTATTGTCTCCTCCACATGGAGGCTTTCTCTGACCATTTCCTCTAAACTAATACCCACCACTTGTCACTTATTTTCTCTCATGCCACCCACATATTTCAGTCTTAGCATTAATTATAAGCTGTAATTTCTCTCTCTCTCTCTCTCTATTTTCTGACCCCATCCATATACAAGTTCCTTGTGGGCAGAAAACTTATCATTTTACTACTAAATCTCTAGCACCTTTACATACTAGGTGCTCAATACATGTTTACTGAGTGAACAATAGGTTCTTTTATGGTTCTTTTTTTCAAACATATAGAAGAATATAGAGAGAATAGTATAATGAACTCTGACATCCCCATCACCAAGCTTCAGAAGTTTTCAACTCATGGCCAATCTTGCTTCATCTAGACCCCTAGCCAGTCCTCTCCTGAATTATTTTGAAGCAATGCAAGACGTCATATCACTATTATCTGCAAATAAATGTTTCAGTATGTATCTCTAAGAAATAAGGATTCTTTTAAAAAAAATAACCACACTATGATTGTCACACCTTAAAATCTTATCAACACTAATGCTTAGAGCTGTCCATGAAGAGTACAGGATGCTTCAGAAAGAGCCTGGTTGGTTGACGAATATTTACTGAGCCCCTACTGTATGCCAGCCATAGATTTCGAAGTAAGTCATACAGGCAAGGTCCTGGGAGCTGACATTCTGAGAAACGGACAACTGTCAGAAACGTGAGATGGGGCCTCCTCCACAGAGCTCCCCAGCAGGAGCTGTGTCCAAGTCATTCTGTGTGAACAGGGACATAAAGATGTCATGGAGAGGAGTTCTGCTTTACAGGGTAACTGGTCCATCTTAAAACTTATGGATTCTTATTTTCATGCTGTTTTGGCCTTCATTTGAACCAATTCCTTATTTTTGTCTCAAAATATTTATATGAAAAGCATTTTTTTTTAGTTTTCTCTGCAAGAAGTGACCTGGATTTTTCTCACTTCTCTGTGATTTACCCCTTATGTTTACCAAACAGGCCACTAAGGGGTGGGTGGCCAGGACTGCTCCTAGCCCATATGCCATCTCTGTGTGAAGTAAAAAGGCATGCCTTGCTTTGAACAGAGCATCCTATATCAGGGTCCAAGGCTCGGTGTGCAGACCAGAGAGTTGGATTTCAGACCCTTCTTGCCCCTTCCGAAGCACTTACCCTTCTGTGATAAACAACATTTGCAACAGTACACGGCAGGCCTGCAGGTGGTTGTCTGATCATGGTGCTTTCCTGACTGTTTTAATTCTGTGCAACTTATGTTCTTGACCTCAAACACAAGTAATTCAGTAAAACTACTAAAATGTAAAGATGAGATACGGCATGTGACTTGTCACAGATATCTGCTATTCATTTGTCAAAATCCAACTGTATGTGAGGAACAGTTATTGGGACGATAGTGTTATGAATATAAAGCATGGTATTTTACAAAGTTCCTGATTCTATTGACAGCCAACTATGTGAATTATTTCATAAAAGTGTGGTATACCTGTCTCATGCTGATACATTTCTAAAAAATGATACATAGATAATAAATCCAGGGTTTATAAATTCACTTCCTATCAAGAAGTAGATGTCATTATAATGTCTGTTGTCA